ACGGATTACGGGCTACCATTTGAATATATACCTGAAATGTATCGCACGGCTCATTAAATTCAAAACATGCTCGCGAAAAGGGGTCTAGAAAACAGAGACATTGCTAAGCAAAGGAAATGTGCCGAGCACTTGACTTCTTTCTTTCCACTATTCCACAATTTACATTGTAGTCCGTGCTTTTTATTTCCTGTCCGCAGTTCGTAGTTCGCTTTTCTTACCTCAGTCCAAGTTTTATACCCAGTCAGTATTGCATAGTCCGAGGTCTGCTGTGCTTATTTTGTGCTAACCAGGGATTCCGCCCCTACCCAACTTGTTTCTCGTTTTGGCCGGACACGTCTAACGAAGGAACACTTTTCTGAGTGCCGAGGTTGCACTCCAAAATAAGGTACCAATGTATTACGCAAACCAATATGTTGATGAAAATACAATTGGTGACTCGTTTGATGGAATTATTTAGTTTTCCTTTTCTGTTGCGTGATTACCAAATAGGTATATGGGGATTGGTAAACAACGCTGGGATCGCCATTACTGGACCAATAGAATGGATGCCTTTACAAAAATCAAAACGCATTGCTAATGTTAATTTGTGGGGATTGATTGACGTGACTAAAACCTTTCTACCGCTTGTCAAGAAGACCCGGGGCCGAGTGGTGAACATGTCAAGTATGTTGGGTGAGTCATTGCATCTCTTTCTGTGCCCAAACAAAATCAGACTTATTTCACCATCTTTTAAATGCTATTGAGATCTAGATGGTGTTATCCCATACTGATTTAGGCATTGTGTACATGCATTTGGCGGCGAAGGTCCCGTTTTTTTTTAACTGCATAGTTGAAGTCAGCCGCTACATCAGCCTTCATTATAAGCGCTGTAACACGAGCGTGGCTTCGCTCGCGAAAAAATATGCATCCTTGAGCAACGCAAATCGGTGAAAGGTCTGCAAGGGGTTCCAGCATTGATAAGGAAGGAGAAGCACGCGTCCAGCAGCGCTAAAATAATTAGGAACTGCTCGGAGACTACCGCCACATCAGCTAGGCTAAAATTATTAGTATCTTTGATAGTAAATGCGGGAATTTGATGTCACTCAAATTAAGTAACAGTTTTAAGGTAAGCTAAATAATTCATCAGAAAAAATTTTAAAATTTAACGTCGACCAGGTAGTGCTGCCTTGGTATCGCTTTTGTTTAACTTTTCCGAGCCAAACGTAAGACGTAAGATGTCCACACAAATAGAGTGGAAGGATAACGCTTCTCATACCAATAACGTCGAGGAAACCATGCTTGTCTGGTCAACATGCACCTCGCCAATAATTTTAAAAACTTGCTTCGACAATGGAACCGTAAACAGAAGAGTTTTAAGTCCCTAGGCAAAGCACTCCTCGTTTTTCACGAGTCCGTCGCGCGAGTCAAAAAAGCCATTGATATTGGCACACTGCGTGAAAGTCTGAGAGTTGGTCACCCAAATAGTAGTTTTTTGTTGTTGTTGTTTTTGCCTTCTCTAGTTGTTTAAATTTCAGTTCATTAATTTAAAATACAGCGTATGGCCGAAAACTTATCTTTCCGCTGATAATTTGCTGATAGGCCCTAGGTCTAAGTAACTTTTGCCCTCTCCTTCTGGCCTGCGCGGCTGGCGCGGCTGGCGCGGCTGGCGCGGCTGGCGCGGCTGGCGCGGCTGGCGTGGCTGGCGCACCAAGATGGGAGAGTAGAGGGTGCTCTATTGTTATCTTAGATCTGAGATCTCGCTCGAAGTGTCTTATTTTGCGCTGTCCCCCCACCCACCCCCCCCTCCCACCTCCTTTGTACCTCGACGGTTATGCGAAATACATCTGACTTAACATGAAACGTACTGACTAAATTTCAGGTCGTGTAGCGTTGCCTAATGTTTCCAGCTACTGTATAACCAAGTATGGAGTGCAGGCATTCTCCGATGCCTTGAGGCGAGAAATGAGCCCGTGGGGAATACTGGTCAGTATCATAGAACCCGGTTTGTTCAAGACAGCTTTGGCGCACATCGAGCGCAACACTCAAGCGGCGCAGGAATTGTGGGACGACCTCAGTCCTGAGTTAAAGGAGGAATATGGGGAGAGAAAACTCACTCAACGTAAGAAGTTATTTTCAGAAGTTTAAAAGAAAGATACAGAGATAGATTAAGAAAGACGGTAAATTTTAAGCGCGATCGTCAAATAAAGTCACATTTTTGGATAGAAGACAAACGTGTCTCATCCACATGGGTACGACGATTTGGTGTTTGATCAAAATGACAAATTCTACCTGATGAGTTTGAGTATTCTCAATATCCCCTTGCTGGAGAATGTCTGGATATTATAGGGAGAAGTTACATGTTAATCGTTTATGAGAACAGAAGAATATATACTGTGTATATTCTCCTGCTGGGATTCAAAGGCTTAATCTAGTCATACACGATGTTTTCGGCCTTGTTGATCCTTGCAGTTAGCAGAATGTATGTAAACTTCATGTATGACTCAGCGTGCCCACGAATGCTCTTTGGCTCAAACCATCCGAGCGCGTAATCATCATTAAGTCCGAGACTCAAATCGGCGTAGGGCGAGGTTACCGAGGTTTTTTGTTCCCAGTTCTTGACAAATACATGTAAACCTGTGTTTTTTTCCTCATTAAAAAGGACACCTTTTGATGAGAAAACAAAAGGTGTATATATTTCAAATTGCAACGTTTTTGAAAACGGGTGTATATATATATATATATATACATATATATATATATATATCTAGAAAACAAGATCTATTGAAAAAACCGACTAAATTGCTGCCCTTTCAAGGGGCAGTGTTTTTTCAGCTATGTACATGACCATGGCTTAATATTTTTACCCACCTTTAATGTTTTAGCCTGCAGAACTGACGTGATTATTATGCATTTTCAGGCTAACGGAGGCAAGCACGGAGTGGGAATCATGCGCGAGGGGAATGGGGAGGAGCGCAAAAACTCATGTTCTCCCGCACCGCCTCTCATGCATGACTTGCACTTCGCCCTCGCCTCGCACTTTCTTCGCGCTTGCATCCGTTCGCCTGAAATTGCAAAAAGGGCTATTATATTTAAACCATAATTTATGTCTTTCTTTCTCTTTTCACAGTCAAAAAGGGAATTAGTAAATTTTCCGAGAATGCCAGCCCTGATACATACAAAGTTGTGGACGCTGTGATCGATGCTTTGACTTCTCAGCGACCTAATACTCGTTACGCTGTGGGTCTGGATGCAAAAGTATCAATCTTTATTTCCTTCATGCCCACTTTCATTGGTGACAGCTTTTTCCGAAGACGCCGGTGATATGCCTTGGTTACCACGGAGCATCTGCTTTTATGAGATCTCAGTAAGATGCGTTTTAAATATCTGCCGTCTCCTATCAAAATCATGACGTTTGCGCACATGGTCTTACACAGCAGCACTAATCGTGTTCACCTGTATCACTGCATATCCCAACACAGCGGTCAAACGTCTGCGCATGTGCTAACATTGTAAAGACTAGGTGGCACTTAGTGGAGTGCTTTCAGGCTATCAGAACCGAGTTTTCTCACACGAACTACAAACAAGCCAGTTAGTCACAGTGTTTTAGAAGTGTATAACTCTTTTGGTAAAGCCCAAAACAGAATGTCAAATCGACAGGACACCCGTAATCAATAACCTTTGTGTTCGAGGTCTCGAGTTTTCCTCGCTTTTGCAGATTTCTATCAATGTTTCAATTCTGTCGCTTATTATGCGAGACAGTGGTTGTTTCTTATGTTTTCCTTGAAATTTTGCGCGAAAAAGTGGCGCGCGGTTGGCCAAAATTGATCCCCTCACGCACACCCTACGTTTGACTGCTGCGGTGTGAGGAATGTTGGGTAACCCATAGGATACCAATTTCAAAATACCCACTCATTTTGTTTCTGTAACAACACAACATATTTACCAACATAGTAACAAGCAAAGGGCTCTTCCAATAATGTGATATTAATTATATTCTTAAATTAAAGATGGTCATGTTATCACTACCAACATGCTAAACTGTAACTTAAGTAATGACTATAGGTCCGCAATAAAAAGAAGGCTATTCTTCATGGAAGTAATTTTTACCCAAGCAAGACAAAAACAACGTTTTCCAGGTTCTACCATTTAAGTGAAGAGTGCTTTTCGCGCGCGCTAAACGGCTAGCCATAGCACCTCAAGCAGCCCGCGAGAAACTAAGAAATTCCCATTTCGCCATAGATCCCGCAGAGGAAATTTTTCTCAGTAAACAATTAGGCTTCACCCAAGAATTCAAAAGCGGCAACAAAGTTTATTCGAGCAATATTTAATGAAAAGTTTTCCCATCTTTGCCACCTCAATTTTTGGGCGAAATATCCCAATAGAATGTCTTGTTTATAAAAACGAGGGAGCTAGTTACGATGTAAACAAAGAAACATGTAATTTTATTGCAACATGGTTTCAACAAGAAGACAGATATCACAACAATTTAAGAAATGACATCAGAGTAATTAGATGAATGCGTCAGAAAGTTTGGTATGTCCGCAGGAAAGCGTGACGCAATCTCTACGAAAATAAATCTCTCACCGCAACTCGAGTAGCACGTAATCGCGCCCATGCATTGCGAGAGATTTTTACGTTTCCGTGGATTTAACAGAAAAAATTTCATTTTCGGTGTGCTTATTATTCATCTTGTGACACGAAAACAATTACTCACTTTCCTTCCATACTCTTTCCTTTTTAAAGTTCTGCGCACCGATAGTGTTATCACGTGATTTGAACTGATACCAGGGTTACCGTTTGTCTCCGATTAATATTGAATTTGAAGTCAACCACGAAGATAAAAGATAGTTTTAACGGTTTGTTTTATTTGAAATCAATGGTAACCCTTGCATGTTCTGAGATAAGGATGTTCTGACCGGCGAAGCAATATTGCACGGAATGTTAAATATATTGTGAAGCTGTACCTTTTCGAAAGCCAAGAACAATACCTAGTGCATCTCATTAGATATACATTCTGCACATTAAAAGAAATTGAATTTTCAGTTGGAATATTAGTGCATTCGTTGAGAATGATGAAAAAGTCTCAGAGTTGAGATTAAAGAAATTTATCGCAGGCAGTAAGGAGAATTGCGATTGAAATCTGGAAGAGTTAAAAAAAAGCCTCTCAGTTGTGTATATCATGGTCGATTCTATACTGCCTCCTGATTTAAAAAGCAAGCAGGTATCATATATTTAACCCTTCAACTCCCATGAGTGACCAAGAATTTCTCCTTACAATATCAATACAATATCAATCAGACAAGTAATGAGAAAAAAGAAAAATATCAATTGAAGATTATTACTTGATCCAATACCAAATTTTCCAAACTGACATTATAAGAATTGTGGAGTGAAAGAGTTAAAAAGTTAGCTAAATTTTTTTTCTTTCAAATTCCATCATTGTCTGCCAACGGATGCACCCCGTGACCCCATTAGCTTTCTTACCCTACTAATTGCGGGCAGCCAAGTTGGGTGGTAACTATTGTTAGCCAGTCTTTAAAACTTGCGCAACCGAATCAAAAATCGAATCAATGACGTGTGTCAAGGCAGAATTGTAGCTGTAAGGATTCCCAACTATTTCTCGCTATCTGTCCAAGTTGCGTAGTGCTAAGTGTACAAATTCTCACTTGAAACCTTTTGTGAAGCCAGATTCAAATGAATCGTCAGTGTCCAGGCATAATTTTGTTTTTGGCGAAAACAATTCATAATTACATAGAAAGGAAAGTTCAGTTCCCACGCAGTTCACTTGGAAAGACAATATTCATAATTTCATGATAGGGAAAGTTCGGTTTCGACGCCGTTCAGTTGAAAAGATTAGCGTTCAAGAGAAGGAACGATTGTGCGGACAAAGTTCTTGAAGCAGAGCCAATTCCTGAAATTCCACGAATACAAGGGACAACCTGAAACAAGTCATGATATTGCAGAGGCTTGTTGACAAGCCTATTCGTGTCGCACATTATATATAGTGTAGGTTGTCAAGTTTTGAGATTATCTCCCACGATTCGTATTCCGTGAGCATAGCAGTCAAGTGGACCTACTGCGCAGAGTTTGAAAATAAGTGGTCTCCTGAATAATTTCGCTCAATTCAAGAATTTTAAACATGTTGTTCACAATCGTTTTGGCAATAGTAACTTTTGTTTCAATTTACCTTATTCTTCCCATTTTTTCGAGAAAGCGGAACACGAACACCTTAAATATAAAAGACAAACATGTTCTGATAACTGGCTGTGATTCTGGGTTCGGTCGAGAAATAGCTCTGCAACTGGACAAGATGGGAGCTTATGTGTTGGCGACTTGTTTGACGAAAGAAGGAGCGCAGAATTTGAGATCTGTGGCGAGTGAAAAACTGAAAACTTTTCAGATGGATGTTACCGACTCTCAGCAAATTAAGCAAGTGTTTTGTAAAGTGAACCAACTCCTGGAAGGCAGTTCAGGTAGGAGCAAAAAAAATTTCTTTTTCAGGATAACTAAGAATTTGCATGATGCAAAAATGTTGTGTGACAGCGAACTACAATAAGACGCTTCAGTTTTATTTCTCTTTTATTTCAGTACATTCTACGTTAATGAGTGCCTGGAGCTTTTTAGTGAAATTGAAATTTTACGTGGAACAATCGGCAAAAATTAATTCGGATCAATATCAGTTGATCCATCAATTCTATAAGTTTTCTTTTCGCAATCGTCACCGAAGAATTTTCACTTGCGCGCGAATTCAGTTGTGATTGTGCGATCTCTCACGGTACAAAAGCTTACGACATTTGGAAAGCTTAGATGACTCTACCTGCTTCCTCTTATGTTAAGTGATCTTCATGTGGCCGACCACCGAATTTCCTCTTTCAAAAATCAGTTTTATAAGTGTGGAGACACGGAAATGTCGCAAATCACTAGATGGAAAAAATTGAACGAGAAGTTTCTTGTCCATTAGCCACATATTTTCTCAAAAACGACAAACCAGTAGTCTTGACTTTTAGTTCACAGGCAAACATCATTTCTGTGCGTGTAGAGACACGGAAATGTCGCAACAGACAGACAAAACTGAACAGGAAGTTTCTTGGTCATTAGTCAGGTATTTCCCCACAAACGAACTGCTTCCACGTTCACCGGCAAACATCAATTCTGTACGTGCAGAGACCTGAAAATGTCGCAGTAGATAGAACCAACTGAACGGGAAATATCTAGCTTGTTCGTTAGCCAGAGATTCTCCCATAGAGGACATGTCTCCGTAATCGCTTTTGTTCAAGTTTGATTGTTGAAAGATTACACTCAGAGCAAAACAGTTTACTGATCTAAATTTTTGGATGTGGTCAATTAATGCTTCCAGAGGGCACGGGAAGGCTTTCCTATTGGAAGGTCTTGCATAAGCTTGTTATTTACAATTCCGCACATGCCAGGTCTAATTGCCTAATCGTATCCTCTTAACCAAAAGAGGGATTACACGCCTATGCACATTCAGGCTATGCTCTCAGCTCTGACGAGTAAAGAGCCTTTTTCTAACGTCTCTTCGTGTAAGTTCGGCAGGGGTAGCCCAATCAGCGAAGTGTGTCGAAGTAGGACGAAGTGTATCTACGTTTCATATCAGAAATTTAATCCAGATTTAACGCGGAAATTTTTAGCCCGATTACCATTCATTTGGCAATCTCAGCTCGGCTTGGGTTCATCCTCGTTCGATTCAATTCGGTTCAAGGTGAACCAGGCACCCCTTTTAATTTTCGTCCCGTCAAATGTACGAGCTAGGATAATAAAGGGAAATTTTTCTACCTAGTTACCGAGTTCTTGGTCGAAAAAACCAAGATAATTATCCTATAGTCTGTTCCTCAGCTCTCAGTCAAAGAGAAAAAGTAAGTGCGCGGATATTGTGTTCGCGAAAAAATCATGGCGCGAAAAAAATGCTGCAGCTTTCCCATGACGGCGTATTGCAACCGCATCGTCCGCTTGCTCGTCATTTTTGCGCGCTTTTTCGCTCTTTTCCGCACAACGAGAGCCTAGCACAGGCTACCAACCTCCTCCTGATAAGAACACACAGTTGTGATTTTGACACAAAAAGTGTGGTGAGGGGAAATCTCGGAAATTGGGCCATCCCGGTTGATGATGTTCACGGGGGCAGGCCATCTGTTTGTTGTATGATGTTGAGTCAAAACTGATCCTAGAATTTGTCACATACACCAAGATTATGTGAGTTTTCTTTGATAAAAACATGCAGTATATCAACATTCAGGTACCAGGGTCAGCTACCATCAAAAACGTGATTTACTCAAACACGTCAATTTTTCTTTTAAACGCTTTCTGATTAAAATCTTGCATTTATTCCCTTCTCCTCCGATATTAAGATGAAAACTAGCTACGGAATTCGTTGAAATGCTCTCGTGTAAGAGGCTTAAAAGATTTTTTGAAAATATTCATTAAAGTCTATTTAAAACGCGGGAGAAAGACATCACAAAAAAATGGCTCGATTGGAAAAGTGTTGTTTCGTGGTAGTCGAGACTTCTTAAAATATATCTGAGTAACCTAGAAAATTTGAAAAAAATCCTCATTCCATCATAGAAGTAATGAATTGAAATCCGAGGCTGTAGAATTTTACAAATTTCTTTAGCATCCGGTTTTACGCGAGCATTCAAATCCTATTTGTTACGGTTAATGTTTAAGTCATATTTTGGACAAATCAGAGC